TTAAAATGAGTAAAATCTTTAAAGCAATCTTTATCATAGCAGACATGCTTATTGGCACTAGAGTCTGCCCACCACCCTTCCACAGATTGAACCATAAAAATATCTGTAATCATAGCCACAAATGGTTCCTTGATAACATTAGCATGTGGTCGAGACTGTTGTTTCCGAAATTTGCAAGTTCTAGCAATATACCCACTTTTGCCACACACAAAACATGTCACATTTGTCAGATCTTGTCTTTTGGCCTATTTTTGTTTTAGAATTCATCAACTTTTCTATCCTATTTATAACTTTATTTGTTCTTATTTTAAAAAAAGCTACACATGATTGAATGAACCCCACTTATTAATTGTAACTATCAATCTATGTTATAATGTTCATGGCATCATAGTGGGGTTGGGATCTGTACATCGTAGATAAGTGGTAACATGTTATTAGTTGATGATACTACGTATGCATGATGATATAATATCACCACCATATTGAATTTTTTCTCCATAACATCGCTACTATCAGTACGCCCCCCTACCATCAATACTATTGTTGCAGCCGTTACCACCACCTCCTCCACCACCGCTACCACCAACCCATCACCACCACCACCACCTCACTGCCAGCACCATCACCATTCGGCCACCACTACTATAACTAGTACATTAGTTTAAGGATACAAACAAACAGAGAAATGTTTTCTACAAAAAACTAATTTTTTTAAAAAAATCACTGAAACAAACAGAACATCAATGTTAGTGATCACTCTTTTAACGAAATGTTGTTACTATATTTGCAGTTCAGAAAAATATAGTAATTTTTACTTGAAAAAATATATAGTGATATCGAGTTATAATTCGAAAAGATAAAATGTAATTTGCCCGATATGTAAACAGAATTTAAACTAAGATGGTTTAAATACATAAATCTTAGAGGATTTTTTTATTTTAATTATTTTTCAATGACAAAGATGTTAATGCAAAATGACAATCTTTCACGATAATCAACAATACTAGGCGCAAACAATTTCTTGAGGTCAGTCCATACTGTTAATGCCATATTTACATTGCACACATTAAATACATTGGATACATTGGGTTCATGCATTCTTTGTATTCATATATTTTTATATTCAAGTGTTTTATATTTATTAGGTTCATTGTCTAGATTATATTCATATACCTAATTAGTTGTAATATTTAGGTTCATGGATCTTGTTTATTGAACTCATGTATAACCTTCTCTATATAAAAGGATGTAAGCCTATGGGCAAAGAAATCAATAAGTGAGAAAAATTCAATACAAAATAATAGTTCATTCTAGAGAGAGTTTTATCAAAAGCTAAGAGAAGTGGTATCAAAGCATTGCTTTCAATGAAGAATCAGAAAGTCCACAAATTGAAGCCAAAGGGGGGAGAAGCTAAGTTGTAGCAAAAATCAAGATAGAGGAGAATAGAAGTTTTCCTCTCATTTTCCGGTATAGCAAAAATGCGGCTTTGAAGATAGATGTGATTGATAATTCATGGTTTTGGCATAGAAGATTTGGACACTTGAATTTTCAAAGCTTGAAGCATCTACAACAAAAGAATATGGTTTTTAGGTTACCGACCATTCTTGAAGTGCAACATATTTGTGAAGGTTGTGCACTTGGAAAGCATCACCGGGAGTCATTTCCAAAGAAAGCGTGGAGAGCTAAAGCACCATTGGAGCTTGTCCATACCGATGTGTGCAGACCTATGGATACACCAACTCATGGAGGTAACAAGTACTTCATTATCTTTGTTGATGATTTTACTAGAATGACTTGGGTGTATTTCATGAGACAAAATAGTGAAGTTTTTTCTATCTTCAAGAAATTTCAAAATCTTGTTGAAAGACAAAGTGGTTGTTTGATGAAAGTATTGAGAAGTGATAGAGGCAGAGAATAAAACTCAAATGAGTTTATGAAATTTTGTGAAGATATTGGTATGGAAAGGCAATTGACGGTTGGGTACACTCCAGAACAAAATGGTGTGGCGGAAAGAAAGAATAGAACCATAGAGGAGATGTCCAAGTCTATACTACATGAGAAGGGGCTACCCAAAACTTTTTGGGGTGAGGCCGTGTATATAGCAGTTTACTTGATGAATAGATGTCCTACAAAAGCTTTTAAGGACAAAACTCCATTTGAAGCTTGGAGTGGAAGGAAACTGTGACACCCAAATTTTCTTTTTAAATTTAAAATTGCAATAAATAGAACTCAAAAAAAATAATAATAATAAATAAATAAATAATAGTAATAAACAAATAAATGCATAGTTTAGAAAAATAGGAATTAATTGATTAAATTGTTAAGGAAATAAATTGTGAGACACCACACGTTAAATATTTTATTAAGTGGTAAGTGATGTTTTATAGTTTGGTGGTGAGATTTTTAGCTATGAACCTAACTTATAATCATATATAATTTTAGGAATCATCGTGGATTACCAAAGAAGGTAATAACCTTTAGAATAGTAAAAGGCCAAGGTGACTCTCGGTAAATTCTAAGAGATAAACTCAACAGGGTTAATAAATAAATAAATAAGAAAAATAGATAAGATTGAATCTGCCAAGATTACACATGTTAACACTCGGGGACTTTTCGTAACTTATTGCCCACGGTTACCTCACTATAAATAGGGAGGATTGGCTCATGTTAAGGGCAACAGAAAAGAAAAAGAAAGTAGAAAGTAAGGGAAGACAACACGGGTGAGGAATCCTTGAGTGGTGGAAAGAAAGAATAAGAAATTAATTTAAGGTGAGTTTTATTATACCTTGAATTACCATAATATATTTTATGAATGTTTTGTGTTACCACAATTTATTTTATATAATTTATGTTTTATGGTTAGGTTAATGTTTCAATTACGTGGATTATTTTCTGAACTCTATTTGCTTAAATTAAAACCGATATGTTTGTTTAAATTTTAGAAATTATTTGACAATGATCTCATAAACAATTATTTTCTGTAAGTACCACCACGGGAGTCCCATGCATTGGGAGACTTAAATAACCATTAACCCCTGTTCTGATTGTTACTTTAGTGACCCATGTTCTGTTCTGTTCTGTTCTGTACCGTGATTATAGTTATTTATTTCAGTTTCTGCCACTTAATTAATTTGTTATTCAACTCAATTATGTTAATGTTTTAGCTTAAATAACTATACATGGCTATTTTGTACCACTATACTCACAGTATAATATTTCTCACTCTGCTCTGTGCTTATAGCTGTTACCCCTTTCAGGTGACGAAGTTTAGCGGGATCAAGATAGGAAATGAATCGATGTGTTGTTTTATTTTATTTTTTTAAAGATTTATTTTTTTTTATCGGACTCTTGTAATACAATAAAGCCCAAATGACTATGTTTGTTTCCTTTTAATAAACATTTGGTACCCAATTATATTATTTTAATTTACTTAATTTATCCATTGCGCTACTACTACAGAAAATTTCATAATTACTTTTTGTCATCTTGTTGCGTCGCCAAACCTTTGGGTACCGGGTTTGAATCGTGACAAAAGTGGTATCAGAGCAATGTTTTTTTTTAAATAAAAAAAATAATATATATATATAGTATAAGTTTTTGAATTTTTCTGTATTGCAATTCACATTTGAATTGAAGATTATTTCAAAAAAAAAATGTGTATAAAACAAAATTTTATATGTTTTTGAAATTTCCTATATAATTATTCACATTCATTTTATTTACATTCGTTGAAATTCACATTATTTGAATTGCAAAAACAAAAAAAAAATATTCCAAAAAAAAAATATATATATATATATTATTAAACATGTATTATTTGATATTATGTGGTATGTCTAACACAAGTAAACCATGTTATACATATGTCTAGGCTAAGTTTTCCTATGTTGTAGGAAATGGCAAATCTAATGGAGTTATTCTGGTTCGAGCCCCCGGAAGCTCATCTCCTCCCAAACCTATTAGAGGGCTGGGATGACTCAGAGAGTCTTGTCAGGCAAGCCCATCTAACACTTGACTAGCTCATGGGAAGACCCGTTTATTTGCAAACTGACCCCGATGAGAATTTCTTATTCTAAAGACTTAGCCGAGGTAGCACTCGTGAGAGGTACATAGGACCGACCCACGTTGTTGGTCTTGCTCTGGACCTAGAACCGCCACATTTTCTGGTCGCACCTCTACCCGTAGGCTTTGCAGAGAGGAGGGAACCCGCATACCCTAGTAGCCATATTCGCACTACGACACCTCCTCCACAGCACATTGCCTATACCCCAGCTGTGGACTTCACCGACGGTGCATCATACTTGGAGATACCGATATGGATTACTGGACAGGAATTTTGGGGTTATGATCACGGTGCTCCTGTCTACATAGTTCAGGTGATATGGAGCTGCTTTGGAGTAGAGCACAGTGGGTAGGAGTTTGAGTCCATCATGCAGAGTGAGTTTGCGGGGTTATTTCATGGGCCAGTTTTCTAGAGCCAGTTCTCACGGTGGCCTAACAGTCCATTCTAGACGGCTGACCAGGAGATCCTTTTTGTGACCTGACCATAATTAGTCTAATCCTTATATTTTTGTATCAGTAGGATTAGACATTAATTTTTGACGGCTGGACTAACGCCTTATGTATAGTGACAATGATGTATATATGATGTTTTATGTGGTACTAATGTGGTAATATTAATGTGATAGTAAAACTAATATGTTATATATGACGTTGTATCAAAGTTGTATCAATGTGATGTCACGCTTATATCATTTTACTTTGTAGTAATGGCTAACGAAGGAAATGAAACCGGATCATCAGCCAGCAGTACCATCCCAATGGAGCAAATCATGGAAAGAGCAGTCACCAACTTTTTGCAGGCCTTGCAAACCAACATAACCAATGGGAGATTAGAGAGATGAAAAGAACCGACTACGATTAAGCAATTTCAGGATCTAAAACCCACCACGTTTATCGGCGGTCCAAACCCACTGGTGGCAGAGGCTTGGGTTAGGGACATGGAGAAAATCTTTCGCGCTCTACCTTGCACAAAAAGACAGAAGGTGACTTTTGCCAAATTCACCTTCAAAGACGATGCACAAGAATGGTGGCTTCTTACCTTGGAGAAGGAAGATATTGTGACTTGGGCGAGATTTTTGGAGGTATTTTATGAAAAATACTTTCCAGATTCACTGCGGGAACAAAAGGCAGTAGAATTCATACATTTAAGGCAAGGAACCATGACAGTAGCCAAATACGAGAGCAAGTTCACACAACTAGCCCAATTCATGACATACGTCATCTTTACCAAAGCTCGAAAAGCCAAAAAATTTGAAGCAGGATTGGATCCTAAAATCAAGGACATGCTGGAGGTTTTGAAACTACCAACCTATGCAGCGGTGATAGATCGAGCTTACATTACGGAAAAAGGGATTAAAGCCTTGCGCTCTAGGGAACCAAACCAAAAGAAGCAATTTTGGGAAAGAGATAACAGAAGACCCGGTATTGCGCCTCCCAAGAGAGTAAATATGGGCACAACCAGTTCAACCAATTCAAGTAATCAAGGTCTTACAAATCCCAAAGGTGGCACCATTCCAGCTTGCATTACCTGTGGAAGGAGTCATTGGGGACAATGCCGTCAAGATACGGAAGCATGCTTTAGATGTGGCCAAATTGGCCACTTGCTGAGAGATTGCCCAAAGCTTACCAGTTCTACAGCCAACCCCTCTGCACCAGTCTGAAAACCCGCGGTACCTGGAGAAGTGAGGAAGGACCAGAAACGCCAAGGAAAAGCTTTTGCTCTAGTGCCTAGAAACCCAGAAGTTACTGAGAATGTTGAGTCAGGTACACTTTTTGTTTGTGGTCACTTAGCCCATGTTTTCTTTGACTCTGGTTCAACTCATTCTTTTGTTACACCACACTTTGCTACCAAGTTGGCATTAACACCCGAACCCTTAGGATACGAACTATCTGTGTCTTTTCCTTCTGGGAATTCCGCCCTTAGTACTAATGTGTACAAATCTTGTACTGTGTCCTTAAAAGGGAAAACCTCACACGTAGACTTAATTCCCCTCTGCATTAGTACATTTGATGTGATCTTAGGAATGGATTGGTTAGCTGCCAACCATGCCTCTATCGATTGTGAAGCCAAAAAGGTTTTCCTCCAGTCACCAAACCAACTCGAACTTGTCTTCGAAGGAACTGGAACCTCTCCCCCTCCATGTATTATATCCTTCATGATAGCCCAACGGCTTCTAAGAAAAGGATGTTGTAGTTGTATTTGTTATGTGATCAATACTCAACAAGAGACCCCCATACTTGATGAAATCCCTGTGGTTTGAGAATTCCCAGATATATTCCCTGAAGACCTGCCTGGTACCCCAGTTGACCGAGAAATCAAATTCACCATTGAAACCCAATCTGGTACACAACCAATCTCAAAGACCCCTTACCACATGTCCATGACAGAATTGAAAGAACTAAAAACCCAACTCCAAGAACTACTGGACAAAGGCTTCATCTGACCAAGTACCTCACCATAGGGAGCTCCGATACTGTTCGTAAAGAAAAAAGATGGTACAATGGGGCTATGCATCGATTATCGGGAGCTGAACAAAGTCACCGTCAAGAATTGATACCCTCTACCACAAATTGACGACTTGTTCAATCAACTGCAAGGCGCCCAAGTATTCTCAAAAATTGACTTGCGTTCTGGTTATCATCAACTAAAAATCAAAACAAAAAGCATTGAAAAGACTGCCTTCAGAACTCATTACGGGCACTATGAGTTTCTCGTCATGCATTCTGGTAGTAAAAGACCTGGGTAAAAGCATCAATGTAATCCCAGTAGGAATATTTACACTGTTTATTCCGGAGATCAAGATCCCGGGTAGTGTGCGGATGGATGCCCCATGTCACAAATGCTCCAACAGCCTTCATGGATCTCATGAATCGAGTGTTCAAACCCTATGCCATTCGGCATCACAAATGCTCCAACAGCCTTCATTGACGACATTCTTATGTACTCCAAATCGCCAGAAGATCATGAGCACCACTTGCGAAGAGTTCTACAGACATTACGTGATCACAAGCTTTATGCCAAGTTAAAGAAATACGAATTCTAGATTACTAGTGTACACTTTCTCGGTCACGTCATTAACAAAGATGGCATCTCAGTTGATCCCCAAAAGGTTGCAACAATCGTGGATTGGCCATGACCTACTAACGTGTCTGAGATTTGAAGCTTCTTGGGCCTAGTCGGCTATTACAGGCACTTCGTGCAAGATTTCTCAAGGATAGCATCACCCTTGACCCAGCTAACTCAGAAGAACACACCCTTTGAATGGACCGACAAGCAGGAACGCTACTTCCAAGGCTTTAAGAACAGACTCGTGACAGCTCCTATACTAGCACTCCCCGCAGAAACAGAAGGGTTCGTAATCTATAGCGATGCCTCATACAATGGTTTGGGTTGCATCCTTATGCAAAATGGGAAGGTCATTGCTTATGCCTCTCACCAACTAAAGACTCACGAAAGGAACTACCCAACTCATGATCTGGAATTGGCTGCGGTGGTCTTCGCCCTCAAAATTTGGCGTCATTATCTCTATGGTGCAACCTTTGAGATTTACACAGATCACAAGAGTCTCAAATATCTGTTTACACAGAAGGAAGTGAATATGAGACAACGACGATGGTTGGAATTTATGAAAGACTACGATGTGGAGATCCATCACCATCACGGCAAAGCTAGCGTAGTAGCAAACGCATTAAGTCGAAAGACGACCAAAAGTTTGGCATGTACCCTCGTTCCTTGCAAGATCAATGGGCTGCTCGCCAACATAATCATGGAACCCGAGTTGATTGAAGAAATTAGAATCCGCCAATGTGAAGATAAACTTTTGAAGAAAAAATACGAGGAACAAGGAAGCACGCCCGATCCTGACTTCACGATAAGCAATGGGATGCTAAAGTTTCGAAATCAAATTTGTGTACCCGACTTTCCAGAACTTAAGAAAAAGATATTGGTAGAAGCTCATAGCTCGAGGTTTGCGATCTACCCTGGCAATACGAAGATGTATCACGATTTGAAGGAACACTTCTGGTGGATAGGAATAAAGAGAGACATAGCAAGCCATGTCTCCAAATGCCTACGTTGTCAACAAGTTAAAGCAGAACATCAAAGACCTGCAGGAATGTTACAACCACTCCCCATTCCCGAATGGAAATGGGAGCACATTACTATGGACTTCATGGTCGGGCTGCCGCAATCAGTCTCGAAAATGATGCAATATGGGTTATCGTAGACCGATTAACGAAGTCGGCACATTTTCTACCAATCAAAATCATGTACTCCCTTTCTAAGTTCGCCACTCTATACATTAAGGAAATCATTCGTTTGCACGGCACCCCAGTTTCAATCATATCTGATAGAGACCCCCACTTCGTGTCTCACTTCTGGAACAAATTGCAAGAAGCTTTGGGAACCACTCTGAAGTTTAGCACGACTTATCACCCACAAACCGATGGGCAATCTAAAAGAACAATCAAGACTTTGGAAGATATGTTACGTGTGTGTGTGTGTTAGAACTCAAAGGTAATTGAGATGATCACCTACATTTGGTGGAGTTCGCCTATAATAATAGCTACCATGCAAGTATGGGAATGGCACCATACGAGGCACTATACGGAAGAAAATGTCGATTACCTCTGTGTTGGACGAAAGTCGAAGACAAGAAACTGTTAGGCCTTGAGATCTGCAAATAACAAGCGATAAAATTTAACTCATCCAACAACAAATTCGCACTACCCAGAGTCGCCAGAAAAGCTATGCAGATATACGGAGACGGGACTTAGAATTTCAAATAGGAGATCATGTGTTCCTAAAGATTTCACCAACAAGAGGGGTTATCCGATTTGGAAAATGAGGAAAGTTAAACCCACGTTACATTGGCCCGTTCGAGATACTCAAAAGGATTGGTTCTGTGGCATATCGCCTTGCGCTTCCACCCGAACTATCCAATGTCCATAATGTGTTTCACGTTTCGATGCTTTGTCGATATCTTCGAGATCCAGAGCATGTTGTTGATCATGAGAACCTAGAAGTTCAAGAAGATCTCTCTTACGAAGAGCAACCTGTATAGATTCTCGATCGTCGTGATCAGATCCTTCGAAATAAGACTACACCCCTCGTAAAGGTCTTATGGAGAAACTATCATGTCGAAGAAGCAACGTGGAAAACTGAAAGCTAAATGCGAGCCAAATACCCACACCTCTTCGAAAACCAAGGTACGTCAAGTTTGGGGACAAACTTCTTTTAAGGGGGGGAGAAATGTGACACCCGAATGTTTTAAAATTACAATAAATAGAATTCAAAAAATAAATAAATAAATAAATGATAATAAACAAATATATATATATATATATACATGTAATGACAAGAATAATAACTAAACAAATAATAATAAATAAATGCATAATAAATTGGGAAATTGATTATTAAAGAAATACGTTGTGAAACACTACACGTTAAATATTTTAATAAGTGGTAAGTGGTGATTTATAGTTGAGTAGTGAGGTTTTTAGACGTGAACCTAACTTATAGTCATATATAATTTTAGGAGTCATCAAATTACCAAAGAGATAGTAACCCTTTAAACCCATAATTCAAGTCTCAAGACGTTGGTATAGGATAAGGGTTAAACAAAAGGGATAAGACCCTGGATTAGGATAAGAGTCAAAGTAAAAGGGGTAAATTAGTGGGGGATTGAGGATGCCGCCACGTATACAACTATTGCTTGGGCTTCACACCTTGTTTAAGTATAAATAGGGAAGTGAAGTGCGTTGGTGTAGCACAGAAACAAAGTGAACGTAAGGAGTGTAACGGGGCAAGTGAGGCTCGAAAGTGCGAGAAGTAGGGATAAATTTGTACTAGAGGTGAGTTGTATTATACCTTGAGCTAGTATAATATGTTTTAAATATGTCTTGAGTTACCATAATATAGTTTACGTATGTTTTGACTCACCATAATTTATTTTATAAAAGTTATGTTTTATTAGTATATTAATAAAAGTTATGTTTTTCAGTTACTTGGATTATTTTCTGAACTCTATTTGTGAAAACGAAACTCATGGATATGCTTGTGTATATTTTAAAGAATATTTAACTATAACCTCATAAACAATTATGTTTTGTAAGTACCACCACGGGAGTCCCACGCCTTGGGGGACTTAAATAACCATTGGCCCCTGTTTGACCACTTTGTGGTCCAGTGTTTGCTATGGATCTATTGACCAGTGTAGTGATTGTCACTTAGTGATGTACCGTGATTACAGTGATTATTTCAGTTTCTGGCACTTAATTAATTTGTGTATTCAACTCAACTCAATTTATGTTAATGTTTTAGCTTAAATAAATATCCACGGCTATTTTGTGCCCTACACTCACAGTATAATATTTCTCACTCTGCTATGTGCTTATAGCTATTACCCCTTTCAGGTGACGAGGTTTAGCGGGATCAAGATGGAAAATGAATCGCTGCGTTGTTTTGTTTTTTTTTAAGATTTCTATCTTTTATTATTAAACTTTTGTAATATAATGAAGTTCAAATGACTATGTTTTGCTTCTTTTAAATAAACAATTGGTACCCAATCATTTTGTTTAATTTATCTGCTTGTGTTGCGACTACAGAATTATCTGAATTATTTTATTTTTATCTTGTTACGACGCCGAGCCTTTGGGT